GACTTAAAGCAGAAAAGAGAGGGGGAAGGAAGGGCAAACAAGCAAGGAAGAACGAAAGATAAAGAGGGAGATAGAAGTGCAGAGAATATAAGAAGTACAAACAATAGGTGCAGCTTTAAATTGGATGTGGGTATAGAGTTACGTTGCTATGGCAATGTGAACTTGAGTGGGTCTATGCCCTCAGGGAACAGGAATAAAAATCTGAACAAACAAACAAAAACCTGTTTGGGATAGGTGTGGATTACCTGTGTCACGTGGGAGGCTTGTGTGTCTGGAGGGGAAAGGACCTTATGGAAGGAGGATACGAGAGTCAAAAAGGAAAATGGATTAAAACGAAAGAAGAATATTAAAACCAAGGAGTACAAAAATAAGACTTAGTTTGGTAAGGATTCCTGCTTATTTAGTGGGGGTGGTATGTGCACTTAGCTCCTGAGAGGAGGAAGGGGAAATGCTTGCGCGGGAAAAGGGGAGTGAGGGAGAGGGATGCTGAGGACTGAGAAATAAAGGAGAAAAATATCTAAATGGCGACAAGCATTACTTAGATAGGGAGGGTGCCATCTGTTCCAAGTTGCCCATTAGGGCTACTGTCTACGCAGCGCGCCTCCCGGGACCAGCCAGGTGTGGAATTCAGCTGAGTGCGTTGAAACGTGGCTGAGAAGCATTGGCTCATGCAGACGGAGGAATAACCCTGAAGTGGCTTTGGCTAAAAATCAGCTGTGAAGCGGGTGAGAATGGTCCATCATTGCTAATTTCCAACTTAAAGATAAAAATAGCTTTTGTGCTGCTTCTCTAACTTCCAGAGAGCCCAGATTCCCTCCTGTTGGGCCTTCTCCCATGTTCGCTGAGGATATCTTCCCATTTTTGTTTTATGTCCCTGACTGGTTGTGTCTTCTGAAAACAAAACAAAACAAAACCCAAAATTTGGCTTCAGAGTTTCTGAAATCGTTGTGCAATCCTTCTCCCTGTCCCCAAGGCAGAAATGCTTTGTGACTTCCAGATATATCTTGTGTTGTCTTTTCTACAGTAAATTTTGGTTTTGCTCCCAACCAAATAGAGGATTTTATTTCTTGGATGAACCTCAAATGATTAGCATATCATTAATTGACTGGGGGAAAGGCAGCCGTTTAGGCAGTCTGGAGTCATTTCAGACCTACTTATATTTTAGAAATTTTTACATTCCTACTTCAAAGTTCCCTGTTTTCCTTTCTACTACAAAGCCTGTAATGGCTTTCTGTGGAAAAAGCATTAGAAGCGATGTAATGTGCCACCTTTTTAAGCCATTCTCTTTAGTGAGTATCTTCTGTGCTATTTAATTGTACCTGCTTTGGAAAACACAAGGAGCCAACTCAGTTCTTGACCCAAAGATTAGTGGCAAAATGTCACAAGGGATTCTGTGTAATCCATAAAGAGATTACAACCTGGGAAAACCCTATGGTGAAGTTCTGGCTGTCAGTTTTTCTCTCAGTTCTGTTGAATAGGTTTACCATGTGTTAGAATCCACCTGAGTACAAAAAAGAGACAAGGATCCTTAAGAACACTGAAAACAGAGGAGGAATGAGCCCTTCCTTTAACATGAGGCACTCTGACCTGTACAAAAAATCTCCTTTAGAGCACACTGGCAAGGTTAAGAAAAGACGAGAAATAGAACAAAAGTTCTATTGTGATAATGGTAACATTAGGAAAAGCAGTAGGGAAAAGAAAACCAATTGGCATGCTACTCAAAGTGTTATCAACTTCTCTTGGGCATCAGTATAGGATGTGTATTTCTGGTCACATTATTTATAAAATATCAGCGCTAAAGAAGAAATTTCTCAGAAAAGAAATTGCTGAAAAGCCTTTCTCTGGCCTAGAAATTATATACACGCCCAAGGATTTCTGCTTGGGGAAGTATATTGAACTCTTTAAAAATTTTACCCAAACCTTGAATTTGGATTCATTCTAACTGATAACTGGAGGTATTTGTCAGTCTCTGGGTTGAAATGATAAACTAAGTGCTTCAGAAATAATATATACCCTGCAGAGGTGATTAAAAATACAGAGCAAAAACTTAGAAGCCTGCTCGCTTGAAATTTGGCTTCCACTGGACAGCAATGAGTTTGGTTTTGAGTTGCCTTCCCAATATCGTTAGACTAATATTTTGTAGGTTCTGATAAAGAAGTTCATGAAGGCTTGAAAGAAGAAATTCACTAATATAAACATTAGGGGATACCATTATCACAAAGATGCGAGTTGTTTTATGATTTCATTTTATCCTGACTAAGGTGTTCTCTTTAATATGTTTGGTAGTGAAATGGTTAAGCATTGGATGTTAACCCAAAGATTGGCAGGTCAAACCCAAGAATGGTCATCTGCTTCCATGAGGATTGTAGCCAAGCAAATCCTATGGGGAGTTGCACTCTGCCACGTGGATTTGCTGTGTGTCGAAATGGACTCAATGGCACCTAACCACACTATGGTGTGATCTTTAGGGCCATTTCTTTTTTAACGGATGAAGATGAATGGAAAAACTTGCTAAGATATGGTAAATATATTCCTGGCTAAAAGCCCACTGTCACTGACTCATGTCGGGCCAATAGGATTGGGTAAAAGTGCCCCTGATGGTTAGCAGTCCAGCACAACAAGTATGTCACTGGGGCTTGATTAGCAAATGAAGGTCTCAAAGCTTAGTCCACCCATGTCCTTAAGGTAACCACTGTTTTGAGGTGGCAGCTCTTCCTAAGTTGTATTTTTATGCTTTCCAACTGGCGGGTTTCATCTTCTGGCACTATATCTGTCAATGTTTTGGTGCTATTCATAAGGTTTTTGGTGGCTAATCCCTCATAAACAGACAGCTTTTTTCTTCTTCATAGCCTGTTCTTTGTCTGGAAAGTCCACTGAAACCCGTTCACTTTGGGTGACTGCGCTGGTGTTTTAAAACCTCTGACATAACTTCCAGCATCACAGCAACACACAAGTCATGACAGCACAACAAACTACTATACTAGTGGTGGTTAAGATTTAGCAGAACACTAGAGATTGGTCTTTTGAGAAGCAAGAGTTGGGAATAAGAAAACATTCTTGGGATTTATTTTCGTTTCACAGGCTGGACTAAGAGATTGGTGTAGAGGAATCTAGGAAGGGGAAAATTAAAATAGTTGCATTTGCCTTTTTTTCAGGTACAATGGCAATTTGGAAAGGAAAAAATTGTTAGTCATCATGGAATGTATATAGAGAAAATAATTTTATTGATTCAAACATAGAAATAGGTCCTCATTTTCCAAAACCCAACTCCGTGCACTTAAAATGGAAAACTAGATAAAGCAGTGTATCTTTGATATACAAATGCAGTGTAATAATAACTTCTATATTTTTTCAGTTATAGATGAAACAACTTGCAAAATATTCCTAAGATACGAAGCAAGAAGACTAAAATTTAAATGTAGTATTTTTGCCTCCATACTTAGCAACATTACTTCATCCTGTTCCACATTTCTATCTTGCACCAAATATTGGACAAACCAAGGTTACAGAAACAAACAAGTGCTTCCCATAATCACTTATTAAAATGGGAGTGTTGGGGATCACACACGTCTCCTCTGGGAGGGTGGGGTGCAGGGGAGCATTCCAGGAAGTGCTTGTCTTCATTCTGCTCCCATGCTGCCTGACACTCCAATGGGCAGCACCAAATGTATTCTCCAATGATTCTATTCTCTGGGCCTGGAATTCCCCCATGGAATTATGTGCCAATAAATTTAATGTGCCTCTAGATCTGAAACTCTTTTCCTTAATAGGAAGCCCCAGAATACAGTCAATAGGACACAGGATTGTAATATTTTATGCTACTAAACTTGGCCTCTACCCTTTTATAAACGAAAACACAGACACATGTGTGAATGGTGGCATCCCCCAGTTGGGAGATTTAAAAGAGCATTTGATGAAAGCCAAGAATGACATTCTTTCTACGGTACGAGCAAACCAGACAGGCTTGGCTGTTATTGACTGGGAGGATTGGAGGCCCACTTGGGATAGGAACTGGAAGCCAAAAAACATCTACAAGGATTTATCTGTTGAGCTGGTTCAACAACAAAATGCACATCTCAGTATCTCTAATGCCACCAAGGTGGCCAAACAGGATTTTGAAAGGGCAGGAAAGACTTTTTTTCTTGAAACTTTAAAATTGGCTAAACAACTTCGTCCACAATATCTATGGGGTTATTATCTTTTCCCTGAGTGTTATAACCATGGTTCCGCGAGACCTGGTTATGACGGAAGTTGCTTTGAGATAGAAAAGAGGAGAAACGACCAGCTCTTCTGGTTGTGGAAGGAAAGCACCGCCCTTTTCCCAAACATGTATTTGCACTCTCGCCTCAGTTCTACACCCCTCGCTGCGCTCTTTGTCCGGAACCGTGTTCAGGAAGCCTTTCGGCTTTCTGATTTACGAGACCCAAAAGACCGAGTTCCCATTTATTTTTATGCCCACCCAGTTTTTAATGATGTGCCTTCCATGTACCTTTCTCAGGTAAGTCAATGAAAGAATGGGGGGAAGTGGGTCTAGACAATAGTGTCCATAAGTGACGGTGAATGGAATTTAGCATCAGTTTTGAAGGGAAAAACTTGTAATATTTTTGAATGGGCCAAGAGGTAGATCTACCTTATTAAAGGAAATTAAGAAATGGCTACTTTTAAGGTGATCACAAAAATCTTAGTTACTGTGAAAAATTAGGGAACAGAGGCAATATATTTACTTAATCCTTCTCACATCCACCACTACTTTCATTAATAGTCCTTGAGACAGCAATATAGAGTGTGTTTTTGTTATCATGGAACAACGGCTGTGTTAGAGTAGGAGCAAACTGGGCGAATCATTAATATTGGATTCTCAGATCAACACACTTGCTTCATGTTACTGCACTTCCATTTTAGATAAAAATGCTTGTTTGGTATTGCTGCTTTTGACATCATTTTATTATCATCTGCTAACTGTTTGTATCCCTTTTGCCAGTATGACCTTGAGAATACAATTGGGGAAAGTGTTGCTTTGGGTGTCCCTGGAATTGTTTTCTGGGGAGCCCACAATTTGACACGAAACGCGGTAAGTTGAATTGACAGAAAATAGATAAAAATCAATTATATCTTTTTCATCCTTGAGGACTGCTATAGGTAGTAGATGAGGTCAATATGTCAACTGTGAGGTTTAAATGCAGTCACAGATGCCTTAGAAGAAAGCTTAGCAAGCTACTTCCAACAAAATTGGACACTGGAAACTTTAGGGATCTTAGCTCAGCTCTGACAGACAGGGGTGTCCATAAATTAGAATAGGACACATAGGAGGGTTTTGTTTTGTTTTAATTTTCTCTCTCTCTCTCTTTCCCACTCTCTTTTTCTGGTACTGAATAAGTACCATTTTTGGGACACAGTAGGACATGCTCAATTAATAGCGATTGAGTAAAGATAATTTTCATTTGTGTTAATTTTTTTAAATCATTTTCTTTGATATATATGGACATAATATGCCAGGAGAAATGAGTACAGTGAGGATCAATGTAGGCAGGATGGAGAGTGGCAGGATGGGGCTGTGTTGATGTGATAGACATTGACAGTCTCTGTTTAGCAAATATTCAAGGGAAGTACACATGGGAGCAAGTCTCTTGGGCATGTGGGTGGGAGGGACTGTAAATACAATGCCCTCCCTTGCAACTGCAATGTTGCAAGGCATTTTCAAGAAAGAGTGAGAAGGTCAGTGTGACTGGGATGCCACCAGGGGGAGGGTGATAAGGAATGTGGGCAGTGAGAGCAGAGGATCAGCTGCAGAGCTTCGTAGGCCACAATGTGGCATTTTCTCATGTGAGAAGCTACTGACTTGGGGGATGTGTGCAGAAGAGTGGCTGTACCTGATAATGATTTTAGAATCACTTAAGTGAGTTGAGAATAGATTTCAGAAGGACAAGAATGGGAGCAGAGAGAAATGATTAACAGTGATATCTTGGAGCACAGGGTTATTGGTGATAATACAGAAGAGGGTTTGGATTTTGAATATTATCTGGCAGTAGATGTATTATAGGATTGGATTGGAGGAGTGGCTCAGATGACTCCTGGTCTTTACATTTAAAGATACTACCATTAGGATAGGAGAGATGAGGAAAAATCATTTTGATGGGCATTGTGGGAAATGGGGAATTCAGGATTTAGGGGTTGAAGAAAATTATTCGAAATAAATGCTACGTTTTTCAAAGATTTCCTACGGTAAAGGAACAAAACCACTACTTTTCTTCCCTTCATCTTATATATTGTAGTATCTCTTCTAAATAAAACTATAAATAAACTCTATTAGAAAAAAATCCCTATTTTGTTCAGTATAATATGAACTCTATCAGGAGGGAGGAGAAAAAGGAGGAGCTGATTGCAAGGGCTCAAGTGGAAGGAGTTTTAGAGGTGATGATGGCAACATGTGTACAGATGTGCTTGACACAATTGATGTGTGGAAACTGTTAGAGCCCCCAATTATGAAAACTGTTAGAGCCCCCAATTATGAAAACTGTTAGAGCCCCCAATAAAATGATTTTTAAAGTAAAAATTAAAACAAAAATTAAGAATAACATTAAATATATATATTTATGTATCCATTCTCTCCTGATACATGGAATTAGCATAAAAGGCCTTTCACGATTATGACCCAGTGCTTTCCTTTCCTCCTTTATTTTGACCCTTATCTAATTCTTGTTATCAGATCTTCTCCTCTTTTGGCTTCCCATCTTCTACACAATGCAAGAGTCAATCTGTGACATGGATAACACTGAATTGAAGTTGAACTTTTCCTCCTCCATTGGGTGTGAAAACAGTAGTGACTCGTGGGCTAGTGAAGATGTCTAGTGATGCTCCTTGTCCTGGGTTCTATCATGGGATTTATAGAGAATAGGATTTCTACTCAAAGACCAGAAGACACTTTGGATGAGTCTCTTATCCTTCACATAGAATAGCCTATGTTATTACTTCTTTTAAAATTAAAAAAACCATCAAAAAATTTATAGTGATTTACAGGACAGAGTGAGGAGCCCTGCTGGTGTAGGGTTCACTGATTGGGCTACTGATGTCAAGGTCAGCAGTTCAAAACCACCAGTGACACCTTGAGAGAAAGATGGAGCTTTCTACTCCCATAAAGAGATAGTCTGACAAAACAAAGCCCCCAAATGGAAAGATAATTATTAGGCACAATGTTTTGCACATTTAGTCTATGATGATTGTGGGTCACCAGGAGCATTTTCATTGAATATCATTCTTAAATCCTTTAAGATTAAACTATGAGAATTTGATGACAGATGCGTTCTTTTTAAATTGAATTAATTTTTATTTTTTTTAAAGAGAGTTACACTCTTTTCTGTATAGGAAATATATGGATAGTAAATCTATAGAGACAGAACTGGGTTAATGGTTTCTAGTGGGTAAGGCAGGAGAGGTTAGGTGGGGAGCTAATAGTAATGAGTAAAAGAAAGAAGAAAATGTTGTAAAATTGATTGTGGTAATAATTCTATAGCTCTTCTTGATATGATTAAACTATTTAATTGTATTGTATGTGGATTATTTTGCCACAAAACAGTTGAGAAAAGATCTACAGTCTTGGAAGCAGGGCCAGTTCTACCCTGTCCTCTAGGGTCGTTATGAGTTGACATTGACTGTATAACCTGGAGTTTTTTAGTTTGTAGGAGAGTAGAACTTCCTTATTAGGTTTCCAAGGCTGTCCATCTTCATGGAAACAGACCATCACCACTGACACTTGGTTAACAGCCCGGTGCTTGGCCACTGAACCACCAGGGTTCCTTCTCTTCAAAGAATGTCACAGGCATCACCCTGGTGAAGCTTTTCAAAGTAACCTGAGTGCGCCCTGCCCATCTGGTGTTATCCTACTGTTTGGTTTGACCACCTGTAAGGAGAAATGACAGGAAATATAACCAGAGAAAAAAGTGTATGTTCTTTAGTAAAATATTTTGTATCAGTAAAGTATTTACATCATTTTACTGGGGGCTCTTACAGCTCTTAGAACATTCCGTACATCAATTGTATCAAGCAAAAAAGAAAGAAAGTGAAAATGTAAATCTATGTGCAATTACCACTACATGAGCTATGCCATTAGCTTCGTCCATCCGTTTCCGGATTTCAGCCACACTTTGTTTGTTCCTTAAGGCTGGCGTTCCTCCCTCTCCTGAGGTCTTCCCCGGCTTCCTCACAACGTTCAATGCATCTAAACATTATTGTGTTACATGCGGAAGTATTCCTACAACCTTGCTTCAAACATTAAGGATTTGGGGAGATATTTTTCTAAAATATTTTATTTGCCCCCACAGTAGCTTTTTGGGGACACACACAAAAGTGTCTCTTTTTATTTAAGGCACCCTAATGAGACTAAGACAAGAGCCCTACTCAGAAAATATACCTCAGGAACCCAGTGATTCCAGAGACATGGTTTCACGTGTCTCACTTGGAAGAAGCCAGGGCACGAAGGAGCTGGGCCCTCGTAGCAGTACTTATTGACTGGCCTTCCTGCAGCAGCCAAGTCATGACCAATCAATGCGAGCAGATGGTTTCCCATACCTTCAGTTTAAAAGAAAAATGAAATGATTTAACAACAACAAATCTCTCATTTATACTCCAAATTTTGTTTTCTCAAATGCATTGACTTCTTTCTCCAGGGTTCTATTAACACTATGATGGAATCATTTACATAGTATCTACCTCACTGCTCTTTTTTTGAGCTGAGAACTCCACTCTTGTTCATGTGTGGAATGCCTGAGGACTTTGAATGGCTGGGATGCAGTAGAGTATTGGATGTATTGAGTTTGTTTTAAAGGCACGTTGACTCTAGAGTCACATCACAGGGACTTGCAGGTCATCTTTGTTATTTATTCAGAGGCAGTCCTCCAATATTTATTTTGATTTTCTACTTGGAGTTGTCCCTTTTGGGTCTCTAGTCAATAAACTTCTACTACCTTTCCCAACTTATGGTGACTCTAAATGCTAGTTATGTCACTATTTCCTGCCTTTTTTCTATGTCACTTTTAATTGATAAAGCCATGGATCGTGTGACCGTTTTCTGTGTTTTGCTGAAAACTGGAAGAGCTGGGTATTGTGGGCTTCCTGGCAAGGACAGTGATTGACCTAAAACAATTGTTTACAAAAGTAAGCAAACTATTTCTGTACATTCCACTCTATCCAGTGGTGTGCTCCTACTGGTCCCAGCTCAAAATACCTAAATTGCTGAAATTTCAAGACTTCTTGAACTAATTGTTAAACACAGACACTATAAAACATTAAATTAGAAACTTTTATAAATAATTACCATAGTGAATGATGGGGGGAGTGCGGAGTGGAGATCCAAAGCCCATTAGTAGGCCACTGGAGATCCCCTTGCAGAGGGGTC